ATCCAGCTTTCTCTACGCACTCTGTGCTGTGACTATACTGATGCTAATGGTATGAGGTCAATTAACTTTGATCTGTAATGACAAGAGCACTAGCTCCCTAATTTAGTGGAAAAAATAAACTTTCAGCAACCTTGAATACTCCCTATGCACTGCTGTGTGCTTCCTGACAGACTTATAATTGAGCACACTCTAGCGGTCTCTAGCATGATAAAAGAACCGTGCACACAAAAGTACAGTCAGACAGAACAAATGGGTTCATACATTGCAGTTGAATATGACACAATGGTTCAGCTGTGGACAACTCACCCATGGTCTTCCAGTGGTTTGAGAACCCTCTGGCCTAATGACTGATGATGTTCAATATTTGTAATTTCTGATTTCTATAGTTTGCTTCTCAATGAGATCATATAATGCTTTATAAACTAGGTTGGGCAATTTACGGGGAAAAAATGTACCTCACTAGGTTAACCAGTTTGAGAACATAATTTGCCCCTAATGGCTTTCTTTAACAACAAGAAACCAAAAGAAAATTAAAGCTGATAGAGCTGTTCTAGTAATGTCAAAAGTTGGCATTCTTTATCAGTCTTTAACTTAAAAGCACTTCTTGTCAGAATAATGGTAAAGACATCACAGAAATTTTGCTTTTCATCTGACTGACACAAATCAATGATCCAAACACTGAATCATTACATATGTATTTTTTTAAATGAGTATAAAACATGCCAGCTTGTCTACATTTTGTATTCACCCTTGACAGAGTCAGCTATACCCTTTCTCCAAGCACTCACTCACAGCTGAAACTGCTCTATCCTCCCAGTTATAACACTGACCCTGTTTAGAAAGCACAACACAAATAGATGCACTGAAATCTGTAGCCTTTTCCAGGGTGTGAGCTGATATAAAGGGCGGCTTTATTTTCCCCTGGGAGCAAGCACTCTCTTTATCACTAGGACAAATGACCTGTAGAAGAGGTATCCAAGGCTAGACACTATATTTCCTTATAAATGCCAGATCAGGTCATAACACATTACTGTGACTCACTGTGTTAATGACCAAGCACTTCGATTTCCAGGGGAAGCATGAAGACGGATCAGGCTGAAGTCAAGCTCTGTGTATGTCAGAGTACACTTTCTAAGCACTGCTCTTAAAACTCCACTTTCCCTTTCAGCACACACTTTGAAATTCATTGTTAAAACAGACCAAACCACTCACATTATCAATAAGCAAGGCTTACCTTACAGCAATTGTAACCTGTTAGAAACAACGTAAATGACATGTTTTTCACGTAGGGAGAGTGGTTTTCATCTCTCAAGGGGTCTCCTCTAGGATTCTTAATTTTGGAGTTTTTCTTTTTTTCCCCTCATTCCTCAGAGTTGGCAAATGCTAACAACTATATATCCTTCCTCAGAAGTACAGGGCTCCACCTCATTCCTCTATAATCCTGAGAGCTGAGAAGGATTACTGAGCCTAAAAAAGAAAACCTTTTTTCTTTTTTTCAGGCTTGAATGAATCAAAGGAAGAGAAATAGAACTATTTCAGATTTTGGTGGGGGAAAAAAAAAACAAACAAGAAAACACCACCAAAACCCAAACCCAAGCCCTGCTATGAGAACAATTAAAGATAAATTAAGAAAGAGGAGAAATAGAAATGAAAATAAAGACTCAATGATAGAATATGGGACAGAGAGAAAAGAAGATGGAATCAAAAGCAAATTATTAAACCCAAGAAAAAGAGGCAAGGAGTTTATTAATAAAAAAGAATTACTAGAAGTAAAACTATTTACTTTCCCTTTGGTGCATCTGTTAAGATTAACAGGAGCCTCAGGAAAAAAAATAAAAAAGGAAAATGTTAGATGTCCACAGTGAGTAGAAAAGCTTCTCAAAGAACAGAGCAGAAGAAACCCAGGAAATGAGAAAGAGAATACGTGTGAGGGAAAGGAAAAAAAGATACAGATATAACATAAGCACATAGGCTTTCCTTCACATTAGTCACCAGTTCAAGCACCTTGTAACCAAAGACAGACATATTATGGAAGCCTAGGCTAGCATTGCCACCAGATACTCAGTTCATGCCAGGCCATGAAACACATAACAGAGCACCAAAGTAAACAGAATGCTTACTGCATCAAAATAATGTGTCAGAGACAGAGACCAAAGTAGAACACAGGAAGGATAGGAAAATGTTCATTACTGCTAGCTTTTATGACACCCCACACAAAACCAACTCATACTCCTAGACTGCTTTCAGAAACTTGTTAACTGAATTATTCTAAAAAACAGTGTTTGAACTTAAGCACCTATTGCAATGAAAAGCTGACAGAGCAATGGACCATGCAAATTATCTATCTCCTTCCTCTGCCAAGGGTATTACTCTCCTGCACACTGTGCTTTTATCTGCATTTATCATCTAAATTAATTGAAATAATTTCTTTATCTTCCACTACTTGGGAGTCCTTCCTATTGTTCTCACCACAAGGCAAGTTCTTAGGGGAGCCCCTTTGCTTTTCTATGAAAGTGGCATACATAACAGTGGTTGGAGAAACACAACAGGTTTGGTAAAGCTGGTTATAGCTAGTTGATTTTAGCTGTGGCTAAGTCTTAGGTTTTCCAGCACAGAAACTTAAACAAATACTTATTTTGCTTTAAAAGTTGTTGATGCTATTTTCCACATAAACACTGCATTATGTTAAAGGTAAAGCAAGACCAAGTTTTAAAAATAAGTCTTTATCTGATGTAAACAGCTTTTTAAGGAAAGAATCACAAAAGCATTTCAAATGATATAAACCACTACTAGATAACAAATTATCAGAGCTTTGTGGTTTAGTTTTGCGGTTTAGTTTTGCGTTTGTTGTGAACACGATTAGAGTGGTGCTTGCTCTCTTTTCTTCCTGTTCCCTTCATACAACCACGTGGCAATTCCTCTTAATTATATTTATACAGAACAAAAGGTTACCTTCCATTTTTAGAAAGTCAGATTACCCTTTCTATGAAACTTCTAAAAAAACAAAATCACAGGAAGGTTTTGAGACAGTAAATAAGAAAGAGAATCAAAGCTAAAGTGAATTTAATGTGAAGATAGAAACTATTTGGACTTCTGCTTTACCATTTATGTTTACTTGCAAATAAATACTCCTTTCTTTCCTTAACATGTTCTTGGTGTTTAAAAGGATACATATATTAGAATTCAGCTTGTATCTCTCAGAGAAAGATGGTAGCATTTATACATCATACATGTTAGAAGAGTTAGAAGCATCCATTCTGTACATAGGTGTACTCAGACATACATTTTTGGAGTGTGTGTGTAAATATGTACACACATACAGGCTTCTTGGTCCCACAAACAATGTGTGGAAATAGGTAAAAATAAGTTTCCCTTTTCTACACAATACCAACTATGTGTCTGGTTTTAAGCAACACAATTACTCTTCCCTAGAGTCAGTAGGAAATGGATTCGGTAACAGCATCTGAAAGGTACAGAATATAGATAAGTCCTTGTTAAGTTTATATTTGATATGAGTGTCATGTTAGCGAAAACACATGAGCAGAAACTCTCCAGACAGTAGATTGCCATTATTAGCTTCTTCCCAAGCAACTCTGTGACACCTGTTTTCAGGCATCCTGATGAATCAAAAGTACCTTCAAATACATTAAAGAGTGAGAGAAGCAGCAGGTCAAAGGATGAAAAAGATCTATAGGTTGGATCCTTCACCCGTGAGACAGGAAAAACACCCACACTTATACTTACTCTTAACCTTAGTAAATTACCAGGATTTATTTGGGTTTTTTGCAGTGCTTTGTTCATTCTAAATTGCTGCAGCTCTTGTGCTTTCCTCAATACCTCTGTATGAAGGCTGTTACCATTTACCATCTCGTAGTGATATGTTACATTTGATTGAACATTGCTTCTGTCATTTACATTGACAGAATTATTACATCGGTAATAATATTTTGCAAGAATTTTATAGCTTGAATTATTACATTTTTTAGAAAGAAACGGTTAATGCTTCAGAAACATTCAGGTTGATAGCATTCACCACAAATATACAAACTAGCTAAATAACAAAATACAATAAAGGAACCAGGATTTTTTCCGAGCAAAAAAATTATTTGCTAAGCTTATTAGGTATTTCAAACATCCTTGTTAATCATGCTAGTCTTTTTTAGAGAGCCTGCCTTGCCTCTGTGGAAGGGATATTTATGCAGAGTAGCTGTGAAAAAGAAATAAGTGCTGGAAATACTAATCCTGTGCATAATTTTCTGATGCAAACTGAATATAAATTGTTTTCAATCACATTTTTCTACTGGTTCTCTAAACATTTGATAGTGTGCAAAACTTCATACTAGCAATCTGATTATGTAAAGCTGCATATACATACATACATTGCCAAGAGTGAATCCTGCCAGAAAATTAGACTTTTAAAGTCTCCTTTTCAGTGGTAACAGAGCGTGCCCTGCCTTAAATAGGCTGAAGACCCATTTTACTCTCCTGTACCTACAAAACCCTCGGTTTCTCAGCTAATGAAACTATATATCTTTTGTTCACTCTACAATACGATAGAAAAGTGATCCTTTGAATTAAACTTACATAAAGCAGCAGAAAGAGGGGCTGAGTTAGGATAAGTATCCACATGTACCTATGGAAATGCATGTTTCATAGCTGTGGACAAAGATAATAACATGCAAGGAACTGCTATTCCAGAAAATGATGTAGCTTTTCATCCTTAATAACCAAATAAAAAATGGGAAGTCAGTACTTGAGAGCTACTCTAGCAAGCAGATCTCCAGGAAACAAGGTTCCCCACAGACTTCTCCTTGATCTTTAAGCTTAACGTGAAACATTTATATGCACGCAGCACCTGGCCAGAAGACGTGGGAAGACACTTTTATCACACTGGCTGTATTTCTTTCTTAAATAATAGATTTCATCTTTTTTTCCCCTTCTCCTGGAAATGGAATACATGCTCAATAATGTTTCTGTACTTTCTTTTTTTTCTTAAACAGTTTAAGAATAACCAGACAATCTTGAAAACCTCAACATCACACAATCTTGAAAACCATCAACACCCCTCAAACTGCCTGGTGCTGAATCACATCCCAGTTTTTGAATGTAAAAATATGTAGTCAAAGCAATTTAAGCATTATTTGGATGAAGAAGTACTTCAGGAAAAAAAAAATGTGTTAAGGTTAATTGAATGCTAATCTTCCATCCACATTTCTTTGACATCCAGACACATGGGTAAACGAGGCACAGACAAATAAGATCCAACAGAAACTACATGAGTCAGGTGAATTATGTACAAGATTTTCCCAAAGGCATTCCACAGGAGTGAAGAACAGCAGAATGGGAACTTTGAATTGTTGCTTCAGACTGCTGGCAGCTTCACAATAGTTGACCCACTTGTGTCTTAAGCAGGAGTTAACTTATCAAATATACAATATGCATGCAAACCTGTACATGCTGCAGCTATATCTTCATATTCTTCACATTATTCTTGTTTTATGTACATCCTTAATGCAGCAAACAACAGTTAGATATGCAAACCTCCATGATAACAGCATAAAGCAACCTCAATGTAGATGCTTCCACTGAAGCAAATAGCAAAACACACCTTGATTCAAGCGACAAGCAGCTTAGTGCAACGCTTTGTATGAAAAATGAAAGGGAATTTTATCATGGTGGGTTGCTGGGTTGTTTTGGGTTTTTTTTCAGTATTAATATTTTCTTTAAGAAATCCCAAAATATGTTATGCCTTAAGACCAGCATCTATGAAGTGCATGGGCTGAGAAAATAAAGCCATTTTTTTTGCAAAACAACTCTTTCTATCTTTCTCAAACAGAAAACTTAGATTTTGCTTCAGCTTTGCAAAGTTGTCCTGTGTTTTGTCTGAAAGCAAATGGGACGGGAGGAAAGGGTGGGGCAGGGGAAAAAGTATATCCAAACAAGATTACTCATAACTGCAAATTGGGGTACTTTTTCATTTGGGTTCCTGGCTGTGGCTCTAATTGTTACTATGGTACAGAGATTTTCCTGTGATTTAAGTGTGAGAGAACACACATTTTAGGAGAAACTGTGAAAGAAGATTTTACCCTGGTTACTTCTGTGGTCTGGGAGATGCAAATTTGCAGAATTTGGACACAAAATTTTAACCTTAAACCACCTCTTGTATTTCAATTTTTGCCCCTTTTTCAGGATTCCCAGGGATTAGAGAAATTAACGCTAAGAGGATCACAAGTACACAGGATTAAAAACAGCGAAAGATACTGCATGCAACTCAGCAGTAACAAATGCAATTAGGCCCAGAAAAAGCAAATGATAAAATACTGGAGAAAAAAAAATAATCTTTGCTATAAAGTGTGAATTAGACTTGTAGCACCTCAGATTAGGATTTGAAAGTAGAAAAAGCAGAATGTGAAATACCTTAAAACCATTTTGGGTTCCTACACCTATTATAAGAGCACTCATCTCTCCAGCTGATTTTTCTAGATTTGCATAGGTGTAGAAGAATAGCAAATATTCCTCTTTTTCTGCCTTCCCTTGTGTGAGGGTGTGTTGTTTCCAGTTAGCATTTTGGAATCTGAGGATGGGAAATTCTCTGCACAAGCCAGTGAGAAATCAACACTCCCCCCTGTGCTCTCTCTGATGCTTTGAAAGCCTTTAAGAGCCTTCACCGTTTTCTTTGCAATGCTCGGGAAAGAAACTTCAGAAAAATCAGGAAAAGCGAGGCCACTAGTTTTCAGTTTTCAGCTAGACAGTCTTGAATTTGGGCACGTTAAGCTATGGATATGAGTTTAGTGATAGTGAGCAAGCCACTGCGACTGTAAGTACTGGGGTACTTGGTCATCCCTGCAAAGTGCTGCTGTGTTTCTTATTCTGCTATGTGAAGAAATGTGAATGCTTTGGAATAAGAGTCAAAAAAAGCCCAGCATAATAAGCAGGAAACCCACTGTATTTTGTGGCAAAGGGAAGTCAGCATGGCCACAACTCAGGCAGCTATAGCTTAGCAACATTCTTCCAACACACAGGTCTAAACCCATTTAATAAGACCCAACCCGTTTTCCTGAACCAATATCGCAGCCACTGAGCAGCTGAACAGAAAGCAGGCTTTGCTTTTCTCTCCCATGTATTTTGCATAGCTTGCTCTAAGAACAACAGAAGGCAGAGCACAGAAGCTGGGAGAGGCAGAGAAATCCCAAATTTTTAAAAGAATCCTTAAAGATGTACATTTCCAATACTGTGTCATTTGAGGCAGTTCATATCATAGCCCAAAACAGAGCTTTAGACGTCTAGAATCATAGAATAGTTAGGGTTGGAAAGGACCTTGAGATCATCTATTTCCAACCCCCCTGCCATGGGCAGGGACACCTCCCACTAAACCATGTCACCCAAGGCTCTGTCCAACCTAGCCTTGAACACTGCCAGGGATGGAGCATTCACAACCGCCCTGGGCAACCCATTCCAGTGCCTCACCACCCTTACAGAAAAGAACTTCTTCCTTATATCCAACCTAAATTTCCCCTGTTTAAGTTTTAGCCCGTTACCCCTTTTGATGCAGCTCAGGATACGGATGGCTTTCTGGGCTGTGAGTGCACACTGAAGCCAGCTCATGTTCATTTTCTCATCGACCAGCACCCCCAAGTCCTTCTCCACAGGGCTGCTCTGAATCTCTTCTCTGCCCAACCTGTAGCTGTGCCTGGGATTGCTCTGACCCAGGTGTAGGGCCTTGCACTTGTCATGGTTAAACTTCATCAGGTTGGCATCAGCCCACCTCACAAGCGTGTTAAGGTCCCTCTGTATGGCGACTAAGTATTCCTAATGTAAATGAATGCAAGCAGACATAGAAACAGGGCAAGTCCATTGTCCAGTAAGTAAGGGACTTGTGAAGATATAAAATTTGGACGCAGCCAGTACAAAGGGCAAGCACCTAGGTGAACCATTGCCCCTGGTGTGAATTTACACCTAAAACATCAGTGTTAAAGTTAGCTTATTTGGCTTGCTAAATACATTTATGAATCCATATTCTTTATAGTGAAAATACTTGTTTTACTTGAGATTATTTCCTGACCTTGTGAAGCACATAGAGAAGGAATTGCAAAGTTCTGCTCCAGCACTTTCACAGTCATTCCAAAGGCTGAGTTTTGGTACATCAGTTTCAGATGGAGACAAGGATTGCTTCAAATATATTCAACTATTACTTTTTCAAGAGAAACTAAAGACGAGCTGGCAACAGTATCCAGCCTCTGCACCAGTCTGTCTGTTAACTGCTAGAGACCACAAAAGAGAGTCCAGGCTTTTGGCCAAGCCAATGTTTTGGTATGCAATCTAATTCTTCGTACTAACTCAACTTTTTCTGTGACCCTGGGCAAGCTGCCTATCAGTCTCAATTATCCAGCTATAAGGTGAGAGTTGAGAGTACCTCCATGTTTCCTCACCATCTGCCAGGTCTATTTTCATTGTAAACACTGGGCAGCGAAAGTCTTCTATTATTCATAGACCAAGGCCAGATGGGACTAGAACACCTTCTCGTCTGACTTCCTGCTACCAGAGGCTATTATTATGGGTATATACAATACTCGGTGGGGAGCTGATCACAAATGGCGTTTCCAGGTGCCCATTCTAAAGAAGAGAAATAATAACTCAAAACCAGCCATCATTATACATCCAAAGTGGTAGGCCTATTTAGAATTTTGAATTTCTGTTATTTTTCTAAAGGTAAGAAACTTTGTATGTTTCTTTCTTATTTATAATGTTACCAGTGGCATTATTTGCTTTCTGGAGGTTTATAATTGAGTATTCAAACAGCACTCAACTCTATTTAGCAGAGAGTAAAAATTCAGCTTAATGAGAATTACTCCTCATTTCTGCTGGCATAAGAAAACTGTGCAACTACTCAGTGTAGTAGTAGAATTTTCATATCTTGCAACTTGAGGGACTGGAAGAAAACAGTGCAAAAGAAAATACTGAAGCAAAAGATATGACATATATATGTACTATTTTACTCAGTTAATAATTGTATTACACACTGCCATCATGTCAGCCCTCAGAAAGACACAATTGTATTGACAAAGGCAGTAATTCATGTAATTCTCTTATCCAAGTGTGTGTCTGTATGTGTTTTTCCTTAGGCTTTCCAATCCTTGATTAAGTGCCTACAATCGTCTCAGGGTCAAAATTCAATTTATCAGATCTAATATATATTAAGGGAGTACAATATAAGGGCTCACAGCATGTAAGAGTTCAAACAATACAATCTGATCATCCCCTCCAGACTTAAACCCCATGATTCTGTGACACCTAGCACTGAAGTGAATGAGCTAGAAGATATGCCGTGTGCTTTGTCTCCTTACAATACAAGCAAGCTGATTTAATTACAAAATTTGAGAGAGAATGTAAGACAGTCATTGACTGTACTCCTCTGTCATTCAACAGCTGCATAGGTATCTTCTGAGAACTGCTTTCAGGAAAGAGTAACACTGAAGAAAAGAGGTAAAGTTCATCAAATCTGAAGATAAAACCTACCTAACAAATACAGGCACGGCAATAACTTGGCTTGCAATAATTTGAAAGGTTACATTCACAAAAATACCCTGTGGTCAAGGCCTCCAAGACTTAGAGGGGACCCTGTAGGGGTGAGGGAAGCTGGTACTGGAAGTGACAGAAATGGAAATTGGAAACAGAAAAAAAGCATTCTATGATGATTCTATCTGGGGTAAGAGTCTGACGTCTGGAGTAACCAGGCACTAACAGGAAACTTGTAGGTTTTGAAGTGATATCAACTCATCTGGAGAGTACTGGGCCTAGAAGACAGCAAATGAGGGAGAACTGAACCTAAGGTGAGCCAGGAAATTGGAGAAAGCATTGAGGTATCTTTGAACAATAAAGAGAAACTAGATGAAGGATTCAAGGAAGAAGAATATTATGACAAAATACAGTTGGAGAGAGGAGAATGACATGGAAGGATAAAGCACGGAAATGAGTAGTTGTGAGACAAGGATGGAAAGGTCTTGTGGCCAAGAATTCCTTCCCAGTGACTTGGATCATGTGGGAAAATTTCCCAACTCCCAACGAGAGGTTTTGGAATCCACAGGATGCACACCCTTTCTCCATTTCTACTGACAGTCAGTATAAAAGATAACTGTCTGCAACTGCTGTCAGTGACACATCGCAAGTAGCAGATGGTTGTCAGATGTGTCCAAAGATTGCCGTCTTGGTGATGACCCCTGTGGGGAGGTGTTATAATTCCATAAAATAGTTTGGTGTTTTCAGTTTGCTTTTCTAAAAACCTAGGGAATTACACAAAATATTCAAAAGAATATTATGCTTGCGAGTGAAGAAATTTCTAAGATGAGGTGTATCAACATTACAAATGCCTGTTCCTTCTTAATGTGCTCAGTCCTTACAATGCTCTACCATGATCACAGCTACATAGGCAGGGCTGCTATTGTCCTTATAATTCTGTTTCATTTCTTCTTCTGTTGTTTTGTTGTTGCTGTTTGTTGTTTAAGTAGCACAGGAGGTGGGTGGCAAATCAAGATCACTGTAGGGAGAAAAAAAGAAGTATATTCTTAAGGTCAAGGCAGCTGAATGCTGCCTGAAGAATTAGGGCCTATGTCTGCCTCTGTACATAACAAAAGGCAGTATTCCAAACAAAACCTTAACTAGCATGATATTCACTAATTCTCTCACTTCTTACATGTCCCATGTGGAACATCTGGCCAAGTTGGCTGAGTGCTTGCATTTTCAGCCAAAGTTTCATGTATCAATGGCTT